GGCACCAGGGGCGCTAGGAGCACCGGGGACGGCGGGGGCGCCAGGAACGCCGGGAGCACCGGGGGTGGCAGGGGTGCCAGGAACGCCGGGGGCACCAGGGGCACTAGGAGCACCGGGGACGGCGGGGGCGCCAGGAACGCCGTTGGTAGGAACACTGTTGGCAGGCACGGGGTTGGTCACGGAGGTAGCAGAGCTAAGGAAAATTTTAGAAGAAAGTTATAGATTTTGTTGGATAGAGGGAAATGCTCACCAGGCCTTGCAATCAGTCACAGTGGAGGTCAAAATGGGACGAGTGACGGTGTAGGGACCGTGGGTCATGGTGATGTAGCCGGGCTGGAAATACCATGTTAGTGTGCGTGTTGCGTACTTGTTAGTAAGGGCAACATACGGTGGCGATGCTGTAGGTCTTGCTTGAATGCACAATGGAAGTGGCCTCAGGGCAGTAAGTGGTGTAATCAGTGACAGTCTCGGTGACCACATGGGCCATAGTACCAGTGGCACCGAGAGCGAGAGCGGCAATAGAGAGACGCATTGTGGTATAGATGATTGGAATGGTTCCAAAAATGTTCAGATATTGAGGTTATATGATTTAAAGACAGGGGGTTTAAAGAATGTAATCGGTTGAAAACCGGGGGCTTAGAGAATGTCGTGAGTGAAGAGAGGGAGAGGGAAAAGAAGGGGAACAGGAGAGTTTATAACCAATCCTGTAGATTAATTAAATGAGATTCAGGTACCCGTGCCACTAAGGCAATACCCAGGGGAAAGGGGTAGTGACTAGTGGCAATAAGGAAAAAAAAATAAAAAACATCAACAGTCGTAGATTGAAAAGAAAAGGTACTTGATGAAACAGTCCCAATTACTATGAAGACCCTAAGTCACTTCTTTCCTTGCATCCCTAACTCACCTTCAGGACACGCACTCAGGAACCAGTTCAAGTTTGGCCATGGAGGAATCATTTCCCTTTTAGGCCTAGTGGCCCTGCTAGGGTTGGACCACTCTCCCTGGGCACGATTTTCTATATAAAGTGCTTGGATCAGCTTGTTAGTGTCTTACAATTGATATGGTTGAGTCTTGATATCCTACTCTGGTTGAATACATATCCACGCCTCTTCTCTGGCTCTAGTTACTTGCCCGTGGATCTATAGGACTGTAGCATATCTGGAGATCTTCCACCTACTGTTTGACCGAGGTGCTGATCTATTGGCACCAGCAGTAGAAGCTAGGATCCAGATTGACCGGGGTCTACACGGGATTATCTCAATCAGTCATGAGTTTGAGAGCGCCGGGCGAGTGCCCCCAAGCATTTGACATCTACGTGGCTCTCGAAAGCGGTTGTACCGAAATAGTCAAAATCATAGTCAAAATCATATCAGTAAGAGGGATGACATTGCAAGTATCTGGCCAAGCCGGCTGTTGGGGTTACAATCCTCTGCTAATAGTGGCAATTGCCAGGATGGAGGCCAATGACACGGCTCGTCTTGTATGATTGACAAAACATTTTCCTAGGAAGTCTAGATGTCGAGGAAGCCAGAAACATTGCTGTTGGGGAAGCAAATTCCCCGTTACGTAAGCTCCTGCTGAACAGGGGACTGTTGATATCCCCATCTGCTTCTCCAAGATATCAGAAAACACTGGGGATTGAGATACTCGTGTCCCCAGCTTCGTGGAAAGATGCAAACATCGATGCGCTACCTATGGATCTGCCAACAGAGCACGGCACATAAAGTGGGCTTAGAAAATCAACTCTAGCGCAATCGCCTCTTGATCATCTGGTCATGAGAGGGGTTGCGCCAGGCCCAGCAAATACGGACATTTTTGTTCAGCTTTTGCGAGAAAAAGGCGCAGAACCCCTTAGAGGGTCTTCAGCCTCAACTACTCCGTTTGGTATAGTTTCAAAACGGGTATATCTCGATATAGCCTGGCTTATGCCGAGGGTCATTGACAGACAGACTATCATGCAGGAGGAGCTCTTACTTAGCTTGGCATGCTTCTTGAGATTGAACACCCAAACCTAGAGGCTAGTGATGGGTTTGCCGAATACTACGCTAGGCGGGGCAAAATCGTTCCAAAGTAAGTTAAAGGTGGGAACCGGATTTTATTCAAGATTACTATGCCGTTTCCCCAGGCTAACATTGGCTATGAATCCTGCATGAATGGTTACATGTGATGGGGGCCGACTGTAACGAGTACTAATTTAGGACCTCGGGAGCAGTGTAAGGATACGAAATAGGGGCGAAAAAGGTCAAAGCAGTTCCATTTTGATCCTAGTCCACACAAAAGAGGAATGATGGTGTTTCTTGCAATGAAAACCCCCTACAGTAGACAAATGTACACCACTATACGGAGCAATGTCTCACATGTTCTTCGCATTGTATGAACATCTTGGTCCCTTGCTAGACAAAGTGAGTCGTGCCACCCCAATGTGTGTCGTGAGGATGGACCACGTACATAAGAGGGGAATGGGTGAAAGGAACTTTTATTGGATGTCGCAAAGCTAATATGGCAAAGTTAACTGTACTCTAGAGTTACTCGGAACATGTGAGAATCGCATGCCCTCGTTGTGCTAGAGTGTCGACACGCGACAGTGGAGCTGTTGCCACGAGAGGATCATGGAGATGTGAATGTGCCATAGTGAACCCATTCTGACCTTCCAACATTGGAGGTGAACCAACACAACAATTCCAATCCGGTATTACTGGCCCCTTGAAGGATGGTTAAGAGGCGTGGGACCTTTCAGCAGCGCCCGTCCAGCGCCAGCTAGACCAAAGTCCGGCCGTCACCGACGAGTGCTGACACAGATTAGGACGCCGTTTCTTCATCTTGGATTTAGTTGTGTGAAGAAGAAATGGAGAAAAAGATTTTGCCGAGCGAATATAAACCAACAGCTGATGCACGGACCAGGCGGAGAGCTCGAACGGGAATAGTGCATTTTCCCGCTTTCCGCGGGCAACGGAAATATGTCAGTGTTCGTCCGACTATCTTCAGTCGTTTAAAAGCCGTTGCTTTCCTATCGACTAAGTACATAAAACTCTGCTTGAGAATTGATCTTCTTCAGCTTCATCATGTATTTGTCTCGCTGTGGTAGATCCACTGCTCGCTTGCTCCCCCTTGGGAGCTCCCGGGCAGGCGTTGTCTCCGCTCGCGCCTCTATCGTGTCCAGATTGGCCCCCCAGTCGCGGGGAGTAGCATTGTCCACTCGCGATACGCAGCACAAGGTTGGTGGTCGGAATGAATTCAATGGCAAGTGGAACATGTAGACTGACCATTTGGTAGCTTCTCGCGGCCTCTCTGGAGGATTCCGACCCCGCAGTTTATAGCATCTTGCAGAAGGTGCGTCTTCGAAAGAGAGCCCACCAATTGACGGACCAGCTGCTAAAATCTTTCCAGGAGAAGAAACGGCAAAAGCACTTCATAAATCTAATCCCCTCCGAGAACTTCACATCACAAGCTGTTCTCGATGCCCTCGGCAGTGTTATGCAAAGTATGTACTCCGGGTGACCGCCTCTGCTTTGTCCGACAGGACATCCTAACCGCAGTTCAGACAAATATTCCGAGGGATATCCCGGTGCCAGGTACTATGGAGGAAACGAACACATTGATGCCTCCGAGCGGCTGTGCCAGCAGCGTGCCCTAGAGACCTTCCGTCTGGACCCAGAGGAATGGGGAGTGAACGTTCAACGTATGATCCAGTCGACGTGATACAATAATGGTAGCAAAGACTAACCCACTCCAGCTCTGTCAGGTTCACCCGCTAACCTTATGGCCTACTCCGCTCTCCTCAACACCCACGACCGCCTCATGGGCTTGGACCTTCCCCACGGGGGCCATCTGTCCCACGGTTATCAGACCCCTACTAAGAAGATTTCTGCCATCTCCAAATACTTCGAGACCTTCCCTTATCGCCTCGATGAATCCACTGGCCTTATCGACTACGATGCATTGGAGAAGTCAGCCACCCTATATCGACCCAAGCTAATTATCGCGGGCACCTCGGCCTACAGCCGTCTAATTGACTACCCGCGCATGCGCGCGATCGCCGACTCCGTGAGTGCCTACTTGCTGTCAGATATGGCACACATCTCGGGTCTCGTGGCTGCCGATGTGCTCCCGTCTCCCTTTCCCTACTCAGATGTCGTAACCACCACCACTCACAAGTCTCTGCGTGGCCCGCGTGGCGCCATGATCTTCTACCGCAAGGGCGTGCGTAGCACTGACAAGAAGGGCAACCCTGTTATGTACGATCTCGAAAACCCCATCAACGCATCCGTCTTCCCCGGCCACCAGGGTGGCCCTCACAACCACACCATCACTGCGCTAGCCGTGGCCCTCAAGCAGGCTCAGACGCCTGACTTCAAGGCCTACCAGGAGACAGTCCTTCTCAACTCCTCTGCTCTAGCCGCGCGCCTAGGTGACTCCACCAGCAACGGTGGACTCGGCTATAACATTGTGTCCGGTGGCACCGACAACCACCTGGTGCTAGTGGACCTGAAGAACCGTGGCGTGGACGGTGCTCGAGTAGAACGTGTTCTTGAGCTGTGTGGTGTCGCTAGTAACAAGAACACCGTGCCCGGTGACAAGTCCGCCCTCAAGCCCGGTGGTCTGCGTCTGGGAACCCCAGCCATGACCTCCCGTGGCTTCCAGCCCGAGGACTTCACCCGCGTCGCCGATATCGTCGATCGTGCAGTAACCATCACCCAGAAGCTGGACAAGGCTGCCCGTGAGTCGGCTCAGTCCCGCGGTGTCAAGAACCCTGATACTGTTAGGGCCTTCTTGGAGTACGTGGGTGAGGGTGAGGAGATCTCGGAGATTATTGTGCTCCGCCAAGAGGTTGAGGATTGGGTTGGTACCTTCAGCTTGCCGTGGGCTGAGGAACAGTAGACGTTTTTCTTTTTTTTTGATTCCCTCTTGTATAATTCCTTGCATGATTTCGAAATGAATATGATTGAAGACCTCTTAAATTACGACCAGAAAAATCAAAAAGTCATTTGGATTGTTATTTAGACAACGTTCATAAAGAAAATCGCCTATCAAATATGTTGGAGAGACAACGAAAACAGCGGAATTTTCTCCGCAAATTCTGGTTCGGGACGGAGCCGAGGAACGATGTCATTACCTTCCTTCTCCGAAATCGGCACATCCAAGCCAGTTCTCAAACTCTGTATTCCTAAATTCAGTCGCGGTATGCTGCTTTCTTTTCATCCACATCATTCTACCTACAGCCATGAAAGTCAGCCAGGTGCGAACATGGACCCTCGACGAAGACGGGAAACAGAATACTAATACCAATCAGCTCTATGTCTATCCGATTAAATCCCTCCGACCAACAACTATCACAGAGGGAGTCCTAACCACACGCGGCTTTCAATATGACCGTCACTTCATGCTCCTCAAAGTTGTCCCAGCCGAGGATGGCGCCGGCATCACGACCCTGAAGAACATGCATGTCTCGCAGTTCCCGGAGATGGCCCTCTTCCACACCGATATCGAGTATCCGGAGACAGAAACAGACGGCGGGAAAGTAATCATTACATACCATTCCCCCCTGTCAGAGTCAGATCTCAAACTGCGCAAAACCAATCGACTTGAAATTCCACTGCAGCCCAAACCCCAAAGCCTTCACCCTCTCAAAATCATGATGCACCAGAGCCCAACAACAGGATACAACATGGGCGCAGAGTATAACGACTGGTTCAGCACCTGCTTCGGGTACCCCGTAGTCCTAGCGTACCTTGGATCAAACTCAAGAGAGGTGCTTGGCACACTCGCGCCAGCAAAGAAAGACAAAAAGACTGCGCTACGCAAACTACGTGAAAGTTCAACAAATCCCGACAGGAATTGGGAACGGGTTCTCCCGATCCTCATTGTAGCGTCCACGATCAACATACTCCTTCAGGGCGGTACTCTCGTCCGCGATGGGATAACCCCTCAAACAGCTCGGAGTCTTACCCCCACGCTCCTTTTCACTGCTAGTGCGGCGGTGCTATTGTACTTTTACGCTCTGCACCCACAGAATGAGAACCGCATTGCTTTCGCGGACTGCGCGCCTTATCTCGTGATCTCCGAGACATCCGTTGATAATGTCTCAGCGCGGCTGCCGGACGGAGAAAAGATGGACCGCACAAAGTTCCGGCCTAACATTGTTGTCTCAGGCGCCGGAGAGGCTTTCGAAGAGGACTTTTGGGTGGCACTGACTGTGGGCAATGGATTGGGGCATGAGTCGAGTAAACTTTTGCTGACGGGGAATTGTGTACGCTGTCAGAGCCTTAATGTTGATTACGAGACTGGAAAGATGGGGACTGGCGAGTCTGGTTCTGTGTTTAAGAAGTTGATGAAGGATCGCAGAGTTGATTCTGGAGCGAAGTTTAGTCCCGTCTTTGGTAGGTATGCTTTCTTGGAGCCGAAGGATGAGGGGATCAGTCTGAGGGTTGGGGATGAGATTGTGGTTGCTGAGAAAGGAACCAGTAGGTCTATTTTTGGTGAGTGTTTCTCTTTTTTGGAGAAATGTGGGAGTGGATACTAATTTGGCTGTTTAGATTGGCCTGGCCTGACGAATTGAACTTGAATAGTTTTTATTTTGGTTGTGCACCGAAATGGAGATCTGTGTGGATATTATAGGAATTGACGTCATGTTGGAGGTTGGAACTGCAATCAACAAATTTCGGGCAAAACTTTTATTCTAGAACAATTTTAGCTAGCATTTCGATGTCTTGACCTTGCAACACTATAGGCTCATCTGGCATTTTATACATCAACCTACATCGCAGCTGAGAGGCGAGTGAGAAGCATAAGAATGAAATTCAGTTGGTGGATAAGCACATAGCCACAGTTTCGTCATATTCAGACACCGCCACCGGTTGCCCGAAATGGTCACATGACTTCATTGATCCATGGAAAAGCGACCGGCTGTGCAACTTGGATTCGATGTCTAAGAATAACTTGAAACATCTTTGAACGACAGATGACGGTTACGTTCTTCCCTTGCAATTTCATTGAGTGACTTGCGCAGCTCATCTTACCATTTGCGTTGTGACCAAATCAAGCCCAGCCTTACTGCACTATTCAGGAACTGTGGCTCAAGTCTCCTCCAATCACAACTCATACGCCGCTGCCTAGTATTTGGAGTCCACACTGCGACCCTCACGTTGCCTGCCACGCACCCAACCAGAGCTGCAATCGACTTGTGCTCCACCTGTGTGTCGCCGCTACCATTCTAACAAGACCCCATCTGCCAGGCGCCAACCATCCCGCGATCCGGTGCATAAGGCATCGCTGAGCCCCGCCGCGGGTAAGCTGCCGCAGCAGAAAAAAACAGCGATCGTAATCGTTCCAAAACATAACTGCTATAATCGCTATGGAACCAGCCAATCTGCGCCGAAAGGATACCACTAAGGGCCCTCCGCTGCGGATCTTGTCTCTAGGTTAGTGTCATCTCTCTTCCCGGCGTCTATCAGACTCAGCTGACCTGAACAGATGGCGGAGGTGTTCGTGGCTACTCCATGCTTATTCTTCTCCAGGAACTCATGTACCGCACTTATGTTGAATGCGAAGGCAAGCCTCCGCGTCGAGACCAGATTCCCAAACCATGCGACCACTTTGATTTGATCGCCGGTACCGGCACTGGCGGCTTGATTGCTCTGATGCTCGGTCGCCTCCGCCTAGACCTCGAGACTTGCAAAGAAGTATACGTGCGTATGACTCGCAAAGTATTTGAGACAGACAAGACAATTGCTGGTATTCCCTACCGTTCGACTTTGTTCAAGGCCTCGAAGCTCGAGGAGGCGATCCGGGAATGTGTGCGGGAACATACAGTGTTCGAGGCGGAGGGAAATGACACGGGAAATGCTCCCAATTGTGATTCTATGGCCTCTATGGCAAGTTTGCCATACAGCCCGGGCTCTATTCCGCAACGGTCCATCAGTCGGAACAGTTTCAGTACCTCTGCTGCTTCGCATCCAATGTCCCCGATCAGCCAAAGAGGTTCCATTTTTCTTAATGGGTTACGTTGGGGTAATCCGGATGCGCTGCTTTATGATAACCGAGAAAATCGGACGAAAACGTGAGTTCTACAATACGAAGAGATGAGTCGCTGTTACTAATTTGAAATATAGTGCGGTCACTGCCATGTACAAGGGTACCCCGCGCAAAGGATCGGCTGTTCTTCTACGGTCCTACGATTCCCGCCGAGAACCTTCGCCTGAATTCGACTGCACAGTCTGGCAAGCAGGGCGTGCGACATCTGCGACGGGGCTTGCTTTTAAGCCCATCCAGATTGGCCAAAACCATTTTATTGATGAGGGTCACGGCACATTTAACCCCGCGCCACTGGTTCTTGATGAGGCTGTTGTGAATGAGTGGCCAGGTCGTGAAGTGGGGGTCTTTATTAGCGTGGGAACCGGAAAGCGCCCAGCTGGTACCAATAACCGACAACATGAGTGGTGGGAGAGTTTCTTCGGCGACTCGTTCGGCACATTCGCTGAAGCGCGGCGTCGACTGATGACGAAGATTGAGGGCTGTGAGGATATTCACAATGATATGCTTCGAGACCGCCTCGCAAAACGCCATGTCAGCAAAGACAATTATTTCCGTCTCAATGTTGAGGTCGGCGTTGGCGAGTTTGGTATGAACGAATGGAACCGGCTAGCCGATATCAGCACCAACACACGGCAGTATCTGGCCAGACCTGAAATCAAGAAGATGATTCTAGAAGCAGGGATGAGATTTGCCAAAATCGATCGCATGAACCGCCGACTGGCGAGCCACACTGCAGCTGGCGGGGATCGTGACGACCTATCTTTTGATCTTGAGACCGAAGAGCTTTCGCTTTCTTCTCCAGTTCAATCACACATTCCACCACTTGCGCACTTCGCCGTTGAACTGCCTGCGGAATTACCTGCTGATTTTGTCTACCGCCCTTCTTCACAAGCGTCGCCGCCGGGTGGCACGCTCCCTATTCACCCAACATCTCAAGGTAGTACATCCACTTCCCCATCCCGGCAATCTGGCAGTGATTATCATCGAAGCCACGAGCTTCCAAGCCGACCGAGCTCGCAACAACGGAGTTCGCCTTCCCGAAGTGATGAGTATTTTGCAACCTTCAATGGCATGTCACCAGCACCCCCAGTGCCGCCCAAGACACCCATCCCATACCCATCTCAAGAAGACGATGACGGCGTGGCTATGCCCGCACCACTATTCTCCCAAACACCTTCGTCTACCTCGAACACCCAAGTCCGGCCTCCTTACCCAGTTGATGAGCCGCCTCCAACAGTGAACCGACAACGGAAGCCTAGCTACCACGTGCGGTGATCCCTTCTCCCGTGCCTTTCATCTCGAGCCCTATTTTCAATTTGATTTTTTTTTTTACATGTGTATCACGGTGTTTTTGTGTTTTTGTGTTTTTTTTTTATTTTTTTTGCTGAATACCCCTCTGTTGAGACGGTTTGCTTAGGGAGATGGCGTCCTGGGTGCCTGCAATTTTATTAATGGTTTTAATTTTTAGTTGATGCCATACGAAGATGGCCAGTGCCTCGTTGGGCATGAATGATGACATTTATGAGACATCAAATTTGGGAACTGATATTATGTACAGTTATTAAGTGAGACAAAAAACACCCTCATCGAAATTAGGCATCCATGTGCTTCCATATAATGTACAACATACGCTAGTGGCAAATACTAGGATTGCCTGTTGATCTTAAATTAGTTTGAAGGGCTAATGCACTAATGCACTAATGCACTCCATAAATTCCTTGCAACATAGTAAACCACTTACAACATAGGCCGATAGCCAAAAGGGCAGTAGGTACAGGTACCTGCCGATCGCAGTCCAGCCCACCCTATTCAGGAGTACCTGTACCTCTTTTTCCCCCAGCCTCTTTGTTTTACTCTTCCTATTTCCCATTTCCCCATTTCCCATTTTCCCATTTTCCATTTCCCCTTTCCTTTTATTTTCTTAATGTTAAGATTTTTCCAATTCTTCACTGATTCTTTGTCTGAGGTACATTCTACATCCTTGATACCCAATAAATCTGTTCTTTGCCATCTGAGCACCACCGAGAGTCATAGCGCCAACGGCTGACGTGCCACCCTTGCGGAATCCCACAAGTCCACATTTTTCCTTTCCTCGTGGACATTTTCCAGAAGCATTCTCAGATCACACAAAGGCTGTTGCGACAGTCCGACTCGAAAACGTTGTTGACGCAGGCCCCCCTCATTGATAGTCACCCCGGCAATACAGTCTTTATCGATATCGAGGGTCAAGTGTCTCAAATAGTCGCTGAGTCTGGTCTTCGGACGACTCTCTGTCTCTGCGACACGAAACTCTTCGCCTATTTCCACTGCTTAGTTAGTGTGGTCCTAATCTCCAACCTCCACAATCATGGATTCCAATTCCGCCTTGTCACATGCGAACAACCTCCTCGCGCGCGCGGAATCCTCAGGCCGCCCACCGGTGTACAAGGCCGTCGGTATTTCACTGGCTGTTGCATCGGGCGTCTTCATCGGTATCTCGTTCGTGGTGAAGAAAATCGGACTGCTGAAGGCAAACGTGAAGTACAATCAGGAGGCCGGTGAGGGATATGGATATCTGAAGAATTTCTGGTGGTGGATTGGCATGACGCTCATGATTGTTGGAGAGATCTGCAATTTTGTGGCGTACGCATTCGTCGATGCGATTTTAGTTACGCCGCTTGGTGCGCTATCGGTTGTGATTACGACGATTCTGTCGGCGATTTTCCTCAAGGAACGACTCAGTTTCGTGGGGAAGATTGGCTGTTTCTGTTGTATCATCGGGTCGGTGACTATTGCTATGAATGCGCCTGAACAGTCGTCTGTCAAGGATATTCAGGGCATGCAGCATTTTGTTATTCAGCCTGGGTTTCTGGTCTATGCTGGATTGATCATCGTTGGAGCTGCCTTTACGGCTCTTTGGGCTGGTCCACGTTATGGAAAGTCGAGCATGTTTGTTTATATCAGTATTTGCAGTATGGTGGGTGGGTTGAGTGTCGTGGCTACTCAGGGCCTGGGCTCTGCTATTCTCGCTCAGATCAATGGCGAGGAGCAGTTCAAGCATTGGTTCCTATACGTCTTGCTTGTGTTTGTTACTGGGACACTGCTTACCGAGATTATTTATCTCAATGTACGCCTTCACCTGGTTCGTGTTGTTATGGCTGTGCTAACTCAACAACACAGAAAGCGCTTAATCTTTTCAATGCCGCTCTTGTCACCCCGACTTACTATGTGATGTTCACTAGCGCTACCATTATCACTTCCGCCATTCTGTTCCAGGGTTTCAAGGGCACAGGAATCCAAATTGCAACTGTGATCATTGGGTTTTTCCAAATATGCGCCGGTGTGGTATTACTGCAGCTTTCCAAATCTGCCAAGGATGTCCCCGATGCTGCTATTTTCAAGGGCGATCTAGATCAGATTCGAGAGGTTGCCGCGGTAGAAGAGCCCGAGTCTGAGCCTAAAGCAGACTCCATTCGCGGTGCGGCCTCTATCATTCGTCGCATTTCGACTGCTCGCCGTACTATGGAATCAGATGAAGCCCGCCGTTTCTTCCGTGATAAGCATGAGGATACCCTGACAGTGCCAGGCGAGAATGAGATAATTGAATGGGATGGCCTGCGCCGGCGCAAGACTGTCCTTGGTGACGGACCAACCATGGCACGACCAATCACACCGCGAACACCCTCGGTCAAACAACATCCACCGTGGGGCATGTCCCGGTTGCCCGCTGATGAGCATGAGGAAGATCATCAACCTAGCACTAAGCAAAGCAGCCATTCTTTCATGGACAACATTCGGTCTCGGGCTACCAGCGTGCTTCATCCTTCCCAATGGAATGCTGTAAATACAGGAGAGGAGAAAAGTTCTAACGTCAATGCACAATCAGTGGGGATGACAGACATGCCACACGAACGTGGCACTGCGGACACCGAATGCCATGGCGCCGGCGTGGCTGGAGGGTTGGAGGCTCCGTTCAACGCAAATCGTCCGCGTAGCGATACGCCGCGGTCTATATCATGGGCAGACAAAAAGCCCGACTCCCTGGCACCCGAATCTCTCGCCAACACTACCCGCCGCCAGTTCTCTTTTAACACCATGATGGGCCGTACGAAGACCGACAGCGAATCTTCCGTCAACCCCGTACCAGGTTCGCCCCGTGGAATCCTACGACGAACGCACCTAGCAGCCGATCTACGCAAGTCCGCAACTGAGGAAGAATCACTCGGTCTCGTCCACGGCGACTCACGCAATTCTCAGCCCGAAGAAGAACCCCTGAACGAAAAGCTAGACCGCTGGTCGAGTGCCGAGTCAGAACTTGGCGAGCCCCAGCCGATCTTCGCAGGGCGACCACACGGCAACTCCGTGTCCAGTAATACGACCGCCGCTTTTCCCCCCTACGAGGACAACTACAACGACTACTCTGAATCCAACAACCCCTACCATCTCCCGCACAACCGACAAGTCACCTTATCCCCAGAACCCCTCTCCCATGAAGAGGAGGGTTGGGGACAACCTTCATCGAGGGGCAGCGGCAGCAGAATACACACACAGACAGACTCTTCCGTCCATGCCCAATCTCGCGCCCCACCTCCCGCCCAATCCTCCTTCTCCACCCACCGCTATCCAAATCCGCTCCCGCCACTCCCTGATATCACACCCACCACCACCCTCGATCTCATGCCTACTTCAGCAGAAGTGTCGGGGTTTAGACCAGTCACTTCCCACTCTGATGTGGTAACAGCTCAGACAAGAGGCCACGATAACCCCTCGCCTACCTACCCGGCTCGCCAACAGAGCGGCTGGCGTCGGCATATGTCTGACAACAGCAGCCATGACAGTGAGACATATGCTGCGCGCGGAGGTAGGAGAGGATCGTTTAGATGAATGTGAGAAAGCTTCACGATTTACCTGGCTTATATCGCCATCTTGGGATTCTGATTTATGACGCACATATCCTGTTTTCTTTCTCGCATTGTATTTTGCATGGCTATGGCGCTAATTCAGGAAATCTGTTAATCTTTCTGTTCTTTTCTGTGAATTTTTTGGGCTGTTTTGTCTTCCGGGATCGAACCCGGTTTTGATCGGTCTGTACATGTACATACACATGAGATTTTGATGTTGATTCTGCATATAACGACGTTGTGATTACGGTGTATGATTGTAACGGATGTTATGATTATGGTGAATGATTGATCAATGAAATGAGAACTTCAACTACAAGTGTCAAATCGAAAATAGAGTACTGGAAGTCATTCATCATCAGATGTACCAGCAGTGGTGGTGCATTAGTTAGTTGAACAAGAGACATCCCAAAGCAGAAAATTTATATTCATGACGATCAGATAAGATTCGATGCGATCGTGCGTCATTGGGTATCATAAGTGCACGTACTCCGTAGTTGGAAGATTCATCACCCAAACCCAAAAGATTGATGAAACCCCACTCTGTCCAAAACGCCAGCCATGGCGAAATGCCAAATGCAATGCAAACCAAAAAAAGAACCAAGTCGCTACATGCCAACCATATCCATGTCAAAGAAGATCACTTCTTCAACCCCCGCACACCAAACATCTCAGCAACACTCCGTTGTCCCTTGGCCGCAACATGCATACCAGGGAACCGGGACTCGGCAAGACGACGCCCAGCTTTGATACTCTCAAGAGCCCTAGTGATAAGCCCAAGGTCAGATGATCACTTGCCAGTCATTTACACGGCATGATAGTACTTACCAGTCCACACTAACCATCTTCACGCCTTTCCAACCCCCACGGGCAATCTCCTGCTGGAGCTTCCCCGCAGCAAGCCCTCCCCCCGCACCAGACACAGCGGTTCCACTACCAGCTCCAGTGTTGGGTTTTCCGACAAGAACATGCGTCACCGTCTTCCGGGCCATGAAGATAGAAGTTCTAGCGCCGTTCGACACGAGTAGATGTTTAAGTTTATGCTCCGAGATCTGGGGGAGTGTCGAGCCATTGATGTAGATCGTAACACCGGCAAAGATACACGAAGTCAATTTCAAATCGAGGCGGGCGCCAGAGTGGGAGTCAGGTTGGGGGTTGTCCTCTATTTGAGACCATTCCTTTTTCGTTTCCGTTTCCGTTTCCGTTTCCCGTATGTCTCCAACAGTCCTAAGCTTCTTCGTCTCTGTCTTCCTCTCCTTTTCAGGCTCCGCCATAGCCTTCCTCTTGCTAACACCCATAAACAACCGAATATCCCGAACACCAAGTTCATTCCGCTTAGCCACATCCCCAGCTACCAAAGCCCATGCACCGGAAGCAGGAATGTTTGGCGGCGACTGCGACGCGCACTTCCCATTGAAGGCGCCGGGTACGAGGATCGACTCTTCTGAGGCCTTGTTCCCCGGTCCCAACCCTCTTCCTCGTCCTGGAAGACAATCCCCACTTTGATACTGCCTGGTCAATTTGGCCGAGCGCGCATTTCGCCACGATGTCGAGCCGAGGAAACCACCACCTTCGGCTACGCGCTGGTGACCTGTTGAAGCTGACTGCCAGTGGTCGATATAGAGGTGATTTCGTGGTTCTGGAGGAGGTTGTGGTTTGGCGGATCGTTTTGGTTGGTCTGTGGTCATGGTTGGGTCTTGTGGGTTTGTGGGTTTGGAACGGGGATTTTCATTCGTTATTTGAGTGCCACATTGGGTTGAGATGAGGTGGTCTACGATGTGGTTATGTTTGAGTTGAAATTTGGCGAGGAGTCGCCGTGGCGTGAGGCGGAATGAACCACGGTTCGAATCTGTTTTGTTTTTGCTGTTTTAGGATAGATAGGGTAGATCGGGTCACGTGCTATGGAGGATGTGAGCAGAAGAGGGTATTGTACAGTTTACAGAGACTCTATTTGACGGTATTTCTTGGAGATACTGATTTTATACTCACCTGGTGTCCGAATCCATAAAAAAATCTAAAGCTGTAGCAAGGACAAACGTAGCATCTAATGGCTAGTGAAAACCTCCGATGACCTACAGCATCAAGTCAGATCCGTCAACTGCACTCAGATAAGACTCAGCAAGCTACCATCTCCATAAATATCTACAGGATATTGAAAAGCACGAAAGAAGAGAAAAAGACAATCCATTCAGACAGGACAAAACCAACGTTGTATGTCGCTAAAGGCATGCAGACCCAGAGTTCATAACCGTTCATTACCATGATAATCATCTCTCTAGTAGAGTAGCAGTAGCAGAAGCAGACGCAACGGTAGCGCATAAAGTAGAGAGGGGAGCAAAATCAAAGCCAAGGCCATGCCACAAAGACGATCCTTTTGAAACCCCAAGACACGCACAAATAAAGCATCAGTGACAAAAAGGAAAAGAAACAAAAAAAAAAAAAAGAACAACTCGTTAGTGAAGATGGCTCGTAGTCAAGTCATCACATAAGAAAATTCGTTCATAAGAGATTCGTCACATCGTAGTCATCGAGGTTTGCGATCACCATCCAAGTGTTCAACGTATGACAAGTCTTTCAACACGAAAGCATCAAGAAATGCATTTCTTGTGTTGGACCAGTAACAGATCTTACGCCTAGTTCTTCCCCTCTCCTCACTAAAGTTGGAACTTCTCGAAAAAGGCCAAGAATTTCTCCAACTTGAAAACAGAAACAAACGCAGAGAGACAAATGAGCTTCGTTTCGTTTCGACAACCGCCGGGTTTGACTGTCTCCACAGGAACATGGTAAGACCCAGACAAGACTGCGGAGCGCCATGCGGGTTGTGCATGCGCAGTCTATCATGAAATAAAAAAAAACAAAGAGAACTCCGACCGAGAAAAAAGGAATAAACAGAGGGAAAAAAAAAGAATTCCAACAAAAAACCAAAAAAAGTGCCGAGAAGAACCAAGACAGAAACCAGAACCACAAACTGAGAGCTAGGTAGGAGCCACGATTGAATCACCCAGACTCACCGATGGCGAGCTACGACCACGCTAGGCTTCATCGGCTGAAGAATAGGCGGGCCACCGACCGGACCACCGAGGGTAGCATCGGTGATTGTCTTACGACGCTTTGACGTCTCGTACTCCACGGTACTCTCGGGGCGGATATCGTCGTCATCACGCATGCGCTTGCTGCCCGCACTCAACAAGCCATTTCCAGTCGTATAGACAGGGGGCGTGGTCGAGGCCATGGAGTATGGGTCCGAAGCTCCGGTTGCCGGTGTACCGCGTGTATCGCTGACAGCGTTGTACAGGGTAGCGGCGGCGGCGGGACGAGGAGGGGTATTATACCCCGAAGCCCAGTGCGGGGGACCGGAGCCCGTGCGAGGAGTCATGCGACCGGAGCCGTTTTGCTGGCTGGGAGAGCTTGTCATTTCCGGGGTGAGCTGAGAATGCTCGCCGGTCAAAGAGCTAACGGAGGGGTTTGTGCTAAAGGTGTAGGAGCCGCGGTTAGAGTTGTAGCCGGTGTTATGGTCGGGCATGTACTCCTGCTCGTGCTCGGGGACGGTCTCGCCAGGCCCACTGCTCTGGCTGTAGCGGTTTGGGTCGCGCTCGGAGGACTCGGGCTCCGCGGCGCCGGGGCGTGGGTTTGGTGGCGCCATGTCGTTTTTCATGTATCCACCGGGCAGGGCTTGGCCGTAGCTGGTGATCCCCGAGCTCGTCAAAGGGGTGTGTGGCACGTACTGGGCGTGCGTTTGCGGTGCCGCGGAATAATAGGGCTTGGTGCTGTCATAGCCGTGGCTTGGGTAGGCTGGCAAGCCGTGCATGTTGTTACCCGGCGGGGTGGTTGCGGGGGTGGTTGGCATTGACCGCTGATTACTCAGTGTTGTGTCGATGGACAAGGGCTGTGTGTGGGGCACTGGTACGCCCCATTCATATGTACTGCCTAGATGGATGGTGCCCACAAGGCTGGATGCGCTGGCTGGTGGTGTAGGAAATGTATTGGCGCGCTCGAGGCCTGGTCTGGAGCCAGGCTGGCCGCTTATTGAACCCTGTGACACGTGAGAGGACATGGGCGTCTGAAGAGAGGGATGGTGATGATGAATCGGAGGTTGCTGAGAGCCAGATGGTGTGCGCTGGGGACCGGAGGGACGGCCTTCCAGACGTCGCTCCTGGGACTCTTGCACAATAATGTTTGTCCGTGTCTGGTTGGCCGGGTGGTATAGAAGACCACCGATATTATGCACAAAGAGTGGGTACAAGAGGTCGGTGATCTTCTCCTTGTTGGCAAATTCAAGAGCCCGCTCAAATGGGATCCTGAGTCAAGAGTTAACGGATGCTGCGCATGCTCTCCGGGTTCGAATGACATACCAGACACCTTTTAAGTGCATCGGTCCAATTTTCACAACATGGCGGAGCTTTTCACTTTTGAGAATTCCATCACGTCGGCCGCGGGTCATACCAGCTACATTTAGCAGCTTTGTACCATTGATCATGTGGTTGTCTGCGATGCAATCCCGTTAGTTTCAAAGACGAGAGAAAAAATATCATCCACTTGACATCGGGCCACAGAATCATCGTACCCTCTCGCCGAGCTACACACACTCCCTTCGCTTCCACCTGGTAACAAAGGCTCCCCTCGTCTTCCCACAATGTGGCTGTCACTCGTGGTTTCGCTCCCGGAGGAGCGACCTGACCGGTACCGTCAAAGACGAACCCTTGTAGCGGAGCACCGGTATTGTTCCCATACCCACTCGGAGGGGCCACGGCGTGGTTGCTTACTTGATAACGATCAGAATAATCATCGATCACATTCTGGCTATGGATCTTACCAGGCAACGGCAGCAACTGAGCCGGCATTTGGCCACCCATTGAGCTTGGTGGATGTCCTGTTGCGGGTGAAGTAATGCCAGGGGCGTATCCATACTGCGGATAACCAGCCGGGGTGTAAGAAGATGCGGGCTGCATCACAGGTGGTTGCCCGGGGTACTGGTAGTGGGACATTGCACCTGCGGTAGCGCCTTGAGGGGGGTATGACTGCGCAGAAGACATGTGCGAGTGGACATCCATATACGGCTGGGTCTGATTCATGCTGCCGAGAGAGGTTGGACTCGGATAATACCCTTCGTTGACTGAGGGCGGGATACTGTATTCACTTGGAGCGGAAGAATCTAACGAAAGCCGGGCCTGGGTCCCAGGCAAGTCCGCAGAGGACGGGGGACTCCTAGGCTCGTTGACAGGCACAGAGGCACCAGACAGACTCGTCCGAGCGCTGGAGTTGGTAGAGTTGCTCCCGGATGGATCGTGGTAGGCGGTCCGGGAGAAGCCCTGAGGGGCTGTCGGCAGGCTGAGAGCCGGGAGTTTGTCGCCGGGCAATAACGGTCGTTCGGCGGCGTGATGATTGTACCAGGGAATGTCGGCAGGACCGCGGGTATGGACCTGCGAGATCGATGGCAGCTCCAGCTTTTCGGTTGCACGGATGAACGGTTTGAAAATAGAAGGAAGAAGCGAGCAGCGGACGTAAATGTCGTCCAGCGTGCTATCAATATAGGCTGCAGAATCTTTGGAAAACTACAGGTCGTGTCCCAGATTGCACGGGGAAACAAAAGTCCAAAGTGAAAGAGATGCAAACGAAATGTTCAACGGGGCTTTCAGCATCAAACGTTCAAAAAAATTCCGGTGTGGCAACGTGATGCAAGATGCAGGCAATGCAGGGGCGTGCAATATCGTAGTGAAGCTTCGTAGTACGTCGTAACCCTTTTGCAAAGACTCGGAAGGCCTAGACAGAAGCGCAATGAAGACTTTCTCTTGAAAAGGAATTGAATTCAGAGAAGGGCAATGGTCATCAGGATCATTAAACAATCGTCGAACACATCAAAAATCGGTAACTTCAGTGGAACTAAATCAAAAGGCGTAAGTTTTAGGGTCGTTTTCAAAGTCATGCAGGAATCATGTCATAGAGCAAACTCTCAAAATGGAGAGCGCATTGAATGATCAAATAAGGCCGACGGCGGATCAAGGTAGGGGGGAAGAAGGTTCCAAGTCTCAGACAGTCGAGGGATGGGGGAGGGGGGGGGTTGAGAAAAGATAGTTAGACGTACAGAAAGGTGGAGGCTGGGGTGGTGCAGCAAACGCATCCCTATGCACTGCAGGCTGGATAGATGACGTTTGAAAAAGATAAATGCTCAAACAAAAGATATGTAATCCACCAAAAAAACAACACAGAGGAAAGCGACCTTTGAAAATAATCAAAGAAGGAAATCGTACAGTGAAACTTAGCAAAGGCAAGCGATTTAGAGAGAGGAAAAGAGGTGAAGCGAAATGACGCTGAGCCGCAGCGGGAAAGTCGATCAGTGGAGGATAGGAAGAAGCTGACTAAGTGTTTTAGGAGAAGAAAGAGAAGAATGTCTGCAGAAAATCCCGGCTTGCCCCGTCTTTTGAGGGAGAGAAGAAGAGGAAAAACGGAAAAAGAAGAGAGAGCCCATCGAATCAATCACAGTGGACCCGGTGGAGAGAGAGTGAGAGAGAAGTGACTACCAGAACCGTGCGTTTAGATCATCCTCTCTAGACTCGATATCTGCTGTTTTTCTTTTTCTTTTTCTTTTTTGGGGAGGGTTTTTGGGATTTTGATTTTTTGAATTTTTTTTTTCCCCTTCTTTTTTCTCTATTATCTAATTTTCTTCTTTCTTTTTTAGGAGGGGGGGGGGGGGGAAATAAATTAGAATTAATTTTCTACGCCACCAAGTAAGGACGGTTCAGATCAGCAAGAGTTAAGCGTTAAAGTATACGGAGTTGAGGTACCTCATTCCCCCATTCTTAACCAAGTATTAACGAACATTTCCCCATCCGTCTACCTAGAAACTGTAGGGACAAGTCAAAGAGAGCAATTCCCAGCTGAGGATCCTGGTCTGTGTGACAGACGGTCAAAACAACTCGCTGATCGGCCGGGATAGGCCCGCTGGATCTGAGAGTTGATTTCCCCAGTGGAGTCACCGATCAGATTCATTTAATTCGATTCCTTTTGAGGGGGGTTACTCTGGACGTGGGATACTATTTCTGGCTGGGCAGGATTGCAAGACTAGGACGATACCTCTTGGGATTCAAGTATGTGGCATGTTCTCCTAGACACAAGGTAGCCCTGAATGTTTCATAAAATGCACCACCTAGGCACATCAGCTGTTTAGAAATCGGTCTTAAGATAGGTTGTCTCCACGCGGGTCCCACTCCTGTGAACCATGGACAATCAACCGGGGAGAAGAACGGGGGAAATCCATCCAAGGTTGACGCTGACAGTAGTGATTGAAACCATGGTCGAGAGACTAAATTACCCCTCAGAATACTGGCATGTACTAGGACTAGTAGGTGGTGCGTGCAGTGGGAAAATCGAAATCCGATCCCGATCCGTGGATATCTCGTTCATCGTGCAAGACATCTGTCAGCGGCTGCAGAGAGAGAGAGAGAGAGAGAGAGAGAAAAAAGAAAA